TATATATATATATATATATGATTATTGTATTATTATTATTAATATGATTGTTGTTATTATTATTAGTCTACTTTTTATACACTTATTTCAGTTTTATGCATTTTAGTACAGTATGTAAAGTTTAGCTATATGAGAATAAATAACTAGCATTTATAAATATTTATGTGCATGTTTATTTATATATATTGGAAGTCAGAATTATTAGCTCCCTTTGAATTTTTTTTTTCTTCTTTTTTAAATATTCCAAATTTTTTATTTTAGTTTTATGCATTTAATTCTAAGTTAAACTATATGAGAACAAATAACAAAAAAAAAAAAACCATTCTAATTATATTTCGAATTAATTTTAATTTTGGTTCAGTTGATGTCAGTAACGTCATTTATGAATTTGGCAATTAAAGAGTTAAAATCCTGTCACTTTCTAAACAATTTAGTAGTTTTGATCAGGACTAAGGTTGATTAAAAGATTTATGCAGAAAAAAATAGAACAATTATTAATCTGATGCATTTTACAGCAGTTTAATTTAGTGCGTTTTCATCCTTAACATAACAAAAAGGTAGTCAATTTGCCCAGAGTGTATTGTGTATTTTCTCAAAATATGTGTCAAAATAAGATTTGTCACCAAAAATCATTCTGCTAGCTGAAACGTTAAAGTTGTGGCCAAATTAAGACTCCAAAATCACCCCAGAGTGGATGAAAACACCCCCAACAGCTCACAAACGTTAAAATCACTGAATATTTCATTTTATTGACCTTTTTTGTGGTTTAAGTCAGCATTAATAGCCCTGTTGGTTACAAAGAAGGTAAATTATTGAATAAAAGGGCTTACTAAGAACTAATCATTTATTTATTTTTCTTGCAGACGAACACGGAGGGTCTGAGTGAGCTGGCGTTCGGGGGTCTGGTCTACTGTCTGGGAGTGTTTTTCTTCAAGTGTGACGGCGTGATTCCCTTCGCTCACGCTATCTGGCACGTGTTTGTGGCGCTGGCGGCCGCCATTCATTACTATGCCATCTGGAAATACCTGTACCGCAGTCCTGCGCTGGAGGACATCAGAGACGCCTGAGCCACAAACAAACAACTAACTCATCATCATCATCATCATCATCATCATCATCATCAAAAACACCAACGTTTACCAGGATGACCATGCAATGTTTACGGTTTTCTTACCAGCTCAGAGTATATCCGTCTGTCTGTCTGTCTGTCTGTCTGTCTGTGTGTGTGTGTTGCAGTGCTGAATGTACAACTGCAACAAGACTGCTGTGTGTGTGCGCGTGCATTTGTTTTTCCCCCCTTTTCATCAGTATTATGTAAATATTTGCCACTGAAAGCAGATGAATTGTGATATTTACTGATTTTATTAGATTTTTTGGGCGTGCATTCAGTCTCACACACACATTCAGTAGTTGTTTCAGATCATCTGTAATGAATTTTTTTATTCATCTTACGACATCAGTGTTTGGTTAAGAAAGTAATATATCACGATCTGTAAACGGTAACACTTATGGTAACAATAATGTTGTGTTAATGTTATTGTGTTTGCTGACATGAACAAACAAGCAATCTTAAAAATGGTAGCATAATAAGATTGTTTAAATTAATTTCATTTTGCTTTGTTAATGTATTTACTAACATAAACAAACAATGAGCGACACATTAATCACAGTATTTATTCATCATTAAGATTAATTAATGGAAGTAATGTTGTTCGTTGTTAATCACCGTTAACTCAAAGCGCAATAACTAATGATACAAGCACAACTTAAGATTTTACTAATATAATGGTAAATGATTTATAAATACCGTATTGTTCATTAGTAAACACAGTAACTAATTAAAAATTATTGGAAAGTGTGGCCATTAAAACATTCTAAATCAAAACAGTAAACGCAAGTTTTATGTTACTTTTGCGTTACTAAGTAACAGTTACATTTTTGAAAAAGGATTACTTTTACTACATTTAGTAAATGTATTAATAAAGCAACTTTTAAAAAAAAAAAGTAGCTGTTACTTAGATGCATTAAAAGTAACTTTAAAAAAGTAACTAAGTGAATGTGTTAAAGAATTTACAATTTTTCAAAAACGTAACTGTTTCTTTGTAAATGTAGTAATAAATCTACCTTTTTTCAAAAAAGTAACTGTTACTTAGTAAATGTAGTAATAAAGCTACCTTTTTAAAAAAAAGTTGCTTCATTATTACAATTACTAAGTAACAGTTACTTTTTTGAAAAAGTTACTTTATTACTACATTTACTAAGTAGCTTTCTTTTTTGAAAAGTTTCATTACTGTTTACTAAGTAACAGTTACCTTTTTAAAAAGTTACTTTATTACTACATTTACTAAGTAACAGTAACTTTTTTGAAAAGTTTCATTACTATGTTTAATAAGTAACATTTACCCTTTTTTTAAAAGTTACTTCATCATTAGATTTACTAAGTAACAGTTAGTTTTTTTTGAAAAAAGTTAGTTTTACTACATTTAATAAGTAACAGTTTAAAAAAAAACTTAAAGGTAGCTGTTACTTAGATGTATTAAAAAGTCACTCAAAAAAGTAACTTAAGAAATGTATTAAAAGTTACTATTTTTCAAAAAAGTAACTGCTACTTAGTAATTGTGGTAATGAAAAAAAGATAACTTTTACTACATTTACTAGTTACAGTTACTGTTTTGAAAAAGGTTACTTCCTACATTTAATGACTAACAGTCACTTTTTGAAAAAGATTACTTTATTACCACATTTAATGCGTAACAGTTACTTTTTTGAAAAAGTTACTTTATTACCACATTTAATGCGTAACAGTTACTTTTTTGGAAAAAAGTTACTTTTTTTACTACATTTAATGAGAAACAGTTTCTTTTTTGAAAAAAAAAACATTACTTTATTATTACATTAACTTTTGTGAGAAATTACTTTATTACTACATTTAATAAGTAAAAGTTACTTTTTTGAAAAAGTTACTTTACCACATTTACTAAGTAACAGTTATGCTTTTGGGAAAAAAAGCTAACTTTTACTACATTTGATAAGTAACAATTGCTGTTTTTGAAAAAAAACAACATTATTTTTACTTTATTACTACATTTACCAAGTAACTTGCTTTTTTTTTGAAAAAAGTAACTATATTAATACATTTACTAAGTAACAGTTACTTTTATTTTTTTAAATTACTTTTTCTACATTTACTAAGTAACAGTTACTTAAAAAATAGTAACTTTAGATTGTAACATATTACTTTTTTCCACCCAACACTGTATTACATGTATTAATGTATCTCAAATGGGTTTTAACTGGAGATTTTTGTCTAGTTGTATTTTTTCCTACGCTCTTCTCCGTGTTGATGCTCTTTCAGCAGGATTTGAAAGTGTCTCACTAAGCATTCTTTTTCACTATGCGGCACTTTTCTAACAGGAAGAACCACTTGTATTTGATATTGCATTGGAGCATGTGGTGGAGAGGCTGATGGGATTGATGCTGGTGGATAATGTCGTTCATACACTGCTGTGTGCGTCCACGTTTACATATGCAGGATGGCTTTTAAACGCCTGAACCACCTTAAAGACGAACTCTGTGATGTTTCCCAAATGCAGCACAATTTTCAATGCATATTTTGATTAAGAATAGCTAACAAGTATGAGTGAAAATAAATTACACAATTTTCATATTTCATGATATTTCTCATGATCATGTTTCTCCCCAAAATAATAAGATAAATTAAATCTATTTTTTGTGACGTTTTTATTTTTATCCCTTATGTGCATATATCATAATAATATTGTTAATTTGTTATTTTTGTATTATATTTATATATTCTTTCTGTCATTTGTCTTGTTTAATAACAGTCAAAAATGGGTAATGTGTATAAAACTATTAGTCGTTCAAAAATCATTTAAAAAAACGAAATAAATGATATTAAATACACCATATTTCTCCGCAAAATCATAAAAACATGATTAAAAACTTGTAACTTCAATTTATTTTTCATCAGTATACATACAAATACTGTAATTTAATATTTTAATATTATATATTTTTTCTTTTTGTCATTTGTCTGGCTTAATTTCACTAAGAAATGCATAAATAAAGCTGTATTAGTCGGTATTAAACAGACCCCTCAAAACTCATAAGAAAAAAAGGCTTACCAGAATACATTTTGTTTATATGATCATTTCCCTCCATATTTTGTAAAGATTTCTTCTTTAAGTTATTCTTTAATACCATTATAAACCTTAATGAAGAATTCACAAATCAAAAAAAAAAAAAAATAATAATAATAAAATGCTTCACTATATTATGTATTATGGTTTTATGCGATTTGATCATGGACTGACATATCAATAGTGTTAATATGGGCAAAATATTTGTTATCCGACAACAAAAAAATGCTAACGGCGCCAGCAAACAGTCCCATCATGCACATCTCAACCTTATTCACCCACTACACTGTAAAAAGCGATTAGTTACAGTATTTAAAAACATGAGTAAACTCAAGGCAACTTTTAAGTTGATGTAACTTGATTCGCATAGTTTGTTAACGTCTGCGTAAACTGAAAGTTGCTGAGATTTTTTAAATTATGTTGCTGTACTTCCAACTGAAATGAATATTCAGTAGAGGGGCGGGGCTTTCTTTTCTGTATCATTCGCTGATAACAAACTAACAATAAGAGAGGGTATTAATATGCAGTTGGAAACCCTTGAGGTTGACGTCAACAGAAGGACCGACACTCCAAACACGAAAGCAAATGCTCAGGTTTTAATTGAAGATTACCAAAACAAAGCAAATGAATTATACACCTTCAGAATAACAATAGAACAATTCTTGCAGACTTTAATCATTTTAAGGCAATTGGTCTACACTGTTTTTAAAGTTGAGACAACTAATCGCTTTTTTCAGTGTAAAAATCATCATCGTCATCATCGTTTCACAATGGTTTCTGTTGTGTTTCTGACACTGTGAATGCATTCGGCTGAGCTTTTTAAAGTGCTAAACCCGGAGGTCTGAACTGCTGCTCTCCTGCACATTTAAGTGTTTTTTGCACAAGATTTGTTCGTAATATTGTCACTGTGATCCACAAAACACGTCATATGGCTACTAAACAAGTACAAATGACTCGTATCTTTTTCAAAACTCAGAATAATGAACGTTTTCTACTAAGGCTGCACGATATTGGACAAAATGTGCGGAATTCGGCGTTCAGATGTGCGTTTGAACTGAAGCATTAAAAAACGTGCAACAGGCTACCATAAAAGGCGCACATTCTACACACTTTTGCAACGTTAAAGGGCTCCACAGACTATTCAAATAAAATGGTTTATTGTTGCACAAACGTGTGAGCATTATCGTGACTTATCCACATGCCACATTATGTATTGTAGAAAAAAGACATTATGGCTAAACTACCATTTACAAACTACAGTGGCATTGCCAGTATTTCGGAGCCAAGGTATCACGATACTACTATAGTACCGGTAAACCGTCCACCCCTACTGTCAACTATAATCCAGACTCAACGTCGCATATCTGGCGATTTGGCTATTGTGGATGCACACATTGCGATATCGATGCTGAAACCATATATCGTGCAGCCCTATTTTCTACCCATTTTCTCACCTTCATACACTGAGAGGTATATTCACTCAGAGAGGCGATCTCGTGTTCAGGTTTTAGCATTTGAACTTTTTGTAATTCTGACTGGTGATTTCGGGATGAACTGTGGGACTGCACGGATGAACTTTTGTAAACTCTTTCTACATCCCGTTTTAGCACATAACTCTGGCCTTTTCAGATCCAACTGCGAAACCTCATCCGATGTCCTCGTCACACATCATTCTGGTGTTTTTTTGGTGCTGGTGTTATACTGACTACATGTGTCGGATATTGAATAATGCTGTTTCTGAAGTGTTCACCAATGAAAGCAGTAACAATAACTCTCCATGCGTCTCTGTGTGCTCATTTCAGCTGGGTTATTGTTTCAACGCCGCTAATCCTATTCTTTTAAGTAAGAAACTAATTGTTCCCACAGAAATTGCTAGATTCAATTTCACAAATATTTATTTGTGCAGTTTGTCAAGAATTTTGAACTATTAGCATATATACAAAAATATATATATATACAGTTGAAGTCAGAATTATTCGCCCCCTTTGAATTATTTTGTTTTATATTTCCCAAATGATGTTTAACAGAGCAAGGAAATTTTTACAGCATGTTTGACAATATTTTTTCTTCTGGAGAAAGTCTTATTTGTTTTATTTCGGCTAGAATGAAAGCAGTTATTAATTTTTTAAACATCATTTTAAGGTCAATATTATTAGCCCCTTTAAGCAATTTTTTTCGGTAGTCTACAGAACAAACCATCGTTATACAATAACTTGCCTAATTACCCTAACCTGCCTAGATAAACTAATTAACCTAGTTAAGCTTTTAAATGTCACTTTAAGCTGTATAGAAGTGTCTTGAAAAATGTCTAGTCAAATATTATTTACTGTCATCATGGCAAAGACAAAATAAATAATGGAAGAAATGAGTTATTCAAACTATTATGATTAGAAATGTGCTGAAAAAAATCTCTCCGTGTGTAAATAAAATGAAAATATAACATTTTTAACAAAAACTTTTAACAGCTATTACCCGGTATTTATCCCCCCTCCCCCCACCTCGTAATATGTAAATCAGGAAACACAGAATAACTGTAGTTTAGACCAAGCTATTAGATTAATTACATTTAAATTTGACATTCGTTGTATCCGATGAGTGTTAAGTGTCCAAGATTTCTTTGACGTCGCATATATAGATTTTCCACGTTGTCAGAATGTCCAGTGTAGCATGGTTGGTCCGTGCTGATGACATTTCCAGATACAGTATTTCCAATAGTGAATGTAACCAGTGCTTAACTGATAGATCATGAGGGTGATTCCACCTCTGCACCAACATTTTCTTTGTAGCAGCTAACCAAAATTATGGATCTTTGCATTTAAGGGAAATTGAGTCATAATTATTCAATAATACCAATACAGGATCTTCGGGGAATCAAATTTCTGTAACTTTAATCAAAATGTTTAGCACCAAATCTGGACATTTGCACCTCCGGACATTCCAACATCATATGTAAAAAGGTATCTGGACGCTGTGGTTCACAAAACTTACAATAAAGATGTGGAGATAAACCAATTTAAATTTTTTTATTTAATGACTAAAGTCTGAAATACTTTAATACAATTTTTGGATGTTGTTTTTAATATTAAAAATAGTAATAAAAAAATAAATAAATACATATAATTAAAAAAATATTATAAAATTATTATAAAATTACAAAAAACATTAATAACATATCAACAAATTGAAAAAATTAAAACAAATATTGAGTAGGGGGAGGGGCTTTCTTTTTGCGCATCATTCCCTCATAGCAAACTAATGGTAAGAGAGATTATTAATATGCAGTTGCTATGGAAACCCTTAAGGTGGACGTCAACAGAAGGACCGCCACTCCAAACGCGGAAGCAAATGCTCAGATTTTAATTTAAGATTACCAAACAAACTTTAGCAAGTTAACTTACGCAGTGGCTCAGTGGTTACCACTGTCAACAAGGTCACTGGTTCGAGTCTCGGCTGGGCCAGTTGGCATTTCTGTGTGGAGTTTCCCCCGCAGTCCAAACGCATGCGGTGAATTGAATAAACTAAATTGGCCGTAATGAATGAGTGTTGTAAAACATATGCTGGAATAGTTGGTGGTTCACTCCACTGTGGCGACCCCAGATAAATAAGGGACTAAGTCAAAGAAAAATGAGTGAATGAACTGAGATTAATTATTCACATTAAAAATAACAATAAAACATTTCCTAGGCTGCGTCCGAAACCGCATACTTCCATACTATACAGTACACTAAAATCAGTATGCGAACCGAGTAGTATGTTTGAATTCATAGAATTCGAAAGTACCCGGATGACTTACTACTTCCGGCGAGATTCTGGAGTGCGCATCCCATGCATGCTGCGCTATCCCATCCGCTTGTTAAGTGTGACGTCACGCGAAGCGGCTTCCGGGTCCAAGCGCTCTATTCAACTGAATGGGGAGACTCATGAAATGGTAATAATAAACGTTTACAAAGCGATTTAATACTTTCGAAAATCATGATCGCAGTATATATGTCCATGCCTAATATCCGATGGCCAGAAAGTGATTATTTTTTTTATAAATTGTTAAATTTTTGGTATTTGTTATGAAGCAAACCCAGAGATTGTTGTGTACACTATGACTGTATGTAAAATGAACTTTAATGTGTGATAGGAATAAAACGTGATCATAAACGAATGATTTCTCCACTCAAATGAGTGGCGGCTTGGACCCGGAAACAGTATTACATACGTCACCAACACGTCACCACTTAACAAGCGGATAATGCCCTGTGAGAGAATTCATGAATGTAAGTAAAGCGACGCAACTGACGCAGGTAGGTCAAGTGACCATGACAAAATGGTGGATGTAGTACGTCAAAATTCCATTCATACTTTTCACGTTCATACTGTATAGAACGTAATTTTCTAACGGCTGAGTAGTACGTTTAAAAACTAATTCAAATGCAGTACCTACTGAGTAGTAGGCGGTTTCGGACGCAGCCCTACAGACTTTAATAATTTTAATGCAACCGCTTTACTCTGTAATATATAAACTCTCATTCCTTTTTAATAGATGATGCAATACATAAATTCAGACAAGATAAGTATATAAGTATCAAGATAAATATTTTTAAAAGTGCACTTAGCAATATTTATTACGTGGTTATCTGGAATACTTGATTTTGATTGGTCAACTCCACTTAAACCTGTTGGGATTTATTCTGTAAAGACAACAGCCTAGAGGAACATTATCCATCACCATAGATATATACATTAGATGTCGCCTGGCCTATTGTTGTCTACTGGACGGAATGCGACAATAGCGCCGCCATCTTGGTACAGATAAGCGCTCCTTTGAAAGGAATGCGGGACCAAGGTACAGTGGAGGACTGTGGCCATCCAAAGCCAGAGATATACACATATACACATATATCTATAATCGGGAGTTTCCTGGATGTTAGTATGTATTTTTTTTTTCTAATTACGAAAATTATAATTTTACATCACTTTTCTACATTGATAGATCAGTGATCGCACAACATTCCTGACAAAAAGCTTGTGTTTGTGTGTACAGAAATGTACTATTCACCCTCCCTGTTAAATTTAATCTAATCATGTCCTGAAACACAGCTCCTCTCCTGCTTTCACTTCTCATACTGACGGAGGGAGCGATTTGTTTGTGAATGAATCCCCCGAACGACTCTTTCACTAACGTTAGGCGACAATAATACAAGTTTCTGGCAGCGCAGCATCTCGGTCATATTTCTTTTGCATTGTTTGCTGATTTTATTAAACAAAACTAGCATAAGCCGAGTGTTTAGTGCGAGTTGGAGCTTCTTTGCCGTGAATGCAGTAAGTGACTGTATTATCATCAATAACGTTACCTGATTAGCACAAAAGTTCAGAACACAAAAACAGAAAAAAACTAAATCTTACCTATGAAATGTTCTGCCTTTGTGCTTTGTTTTCTTTCTTCGCTCGTTACTACACCCGTAGACAGCGCTAAAGTCCCGCATCTTCACGTAATAACCTTGTCTTGACTAGTGCGGTTGAATGACATTTGTCCTGGGAGCACTGTACCAATGTGGCGGCGCTATTGACGCATGCTCAGGTTCCCTATGCGATATCTAGTGTATATATCAATGATCCATTACTTAGAAAATAAAAAACACTGTTGACCCCAATGTATGTACTGACAAGAAACAGTTTGGCTTAATCCTGGATTTATTTCAGTTTTGTACAGAAAGAAACAGTCTACACAGGGCTTTATACACGCGTCTCACATCTGCATTTATACCACAGAGACAATAAAGGGAAAACAAAAGAAACGATAACAGAAATAAACACACACATTTCTGCCCCCATTAATCCTAAACAATACAAAACCTGTGCACATCTCAACTTTGGCCTAAACTAGAGGGCAGCCTGTGACTTTACCAGCAAAACTCGGTATGTTTCAGAAAGTCATATTAGCTTACTATTTTCATGTGCTAGCAATAGTAGTATACTAGTCTGAACGTACCCAGTGACGACAAGACTTTTGACATTCGAGCTCTCAGAGCTGCCGCGCTAAAAACATTCAATATCAACACTCCGCTGCTGTGACTCAAAGGTTATAGAGACTAAAAAGCATAGCCTTTAGATTTCCATTCAAAGAACCAATAGCAATACTGTAGATACATCATCAAGAGTTATTCTGAACAACTGCTTCCTATAAGACTATTGATGTATAGAAAACGAAAAAATATATATATATACTTTTATTTTCAGCGAGTTATGGTGTGAGGTCCGGACGCTAGCGTTCCCTGAGACAGAATACTAAAGGCTATTTGAATACGAGGGTGCAAAGGGTCTTAATGCCCAAAATACAGGACATGATTGAGGGATTTGCTTTTCTTTACTCCCTGTTATATACTTCATAATATCAAAACATTAGCTCTGAGGAATAGATATATTGATATATGCTCTCGTAGATTTCTTCTCTGGATTTGTTGTGCCTTGAAAATATTCAGACAGTTCCATACGGTAAAAAACAAATATATATATATATATATATATATATATATATATATATATATATATATATATATATATACATGTTTTATTGAAATATATATG